CACACCATTCGGAGATGGGATTTGTCTCAAAACAGTTGCCGCAAAGTGCAAGGTTCAGTAGACTACTTGTACTTCCCTTAAAAAAAGTACAGTACTTGTACATTCATCAGTACAGTACTACAGTACTTTCCAAGTAATTACCATTGTTTACAAAGAGGAGCACTCCAAAATCGATGTTTGAGATTGTATATATGCTTAAAAAGATTGATAACCATGAAACTTTACTGATCAGAAAATGTCCTGGATGAATGGCAATATATTCTAATTGTCAGGATGTTTGCTACATTTTTGGTGTGTATATTTTAGGGACATTGCTGCAGTGCTAATGCCTTCCGTGCAGGTTATTCAGTCAGCGCATATTCTGTCTTTTGGCATGTGTATGCTTGCTCTTGTGCCGATGTAATCACGACCTATAATCAGTCCGTGATCCTTGTGTGACGTGATCGCAGAAGTTGGGCATACCTGCATTGTTACTGAGAAGATGCGAATATTAACTTAGGGTTCGGAGCTGAAGCTCTGGCCGATAGCAAAGATATGAAGTCTGAGCTCTGTCTATATTTGCAAGTATATTGATGTGACTTCACATCTTGCCCCCGTATTGGGCAGATGCTTCAGAATGGAGCCACTTCTATGTGTACTGCCACTGTAACCACACAACATGAATTTTCCTGTTTTTGTGATCTGAAATTCTAGCAAGAAACTTGTTGGGTTAACTACGATTTTGTACTATTTACTACTAGCATTTATTCTTATCTCTCAACAAATTGTTGCCCCTGTCTAGGACAGTCAGAAGAAGAGGGCTTCAACTGGGAAACAACATGTGAAAGCAATACCTCTTGTTGAACTACCCAAAACCAAAGAAGCCTCTTAGATTGCGAGAGGCATGTTGTGTTTAGTAAGAGACTTGGCGTGAAATGTCCAAAAGATCAGGAACACTATGTATTGGGCAAGCTTGAAATACTAATATAAGTGTATCCAACTTTTCCTACGATTCCCTTCCTCACCCATGGACGTAAACCATGTCTCTGGCTTTGTAAGTCCAAGGCTCCAAGCTAGGCATTATTTTCTAAAAAGTTTCCATTGATTTCTAATCAAAATATTTCCATTAGCGTAACCCTACTTGGGTACGCCCATCAACGGCCGGAGGCATTCTTGGAGTCAATTGAAACATGTTGACCAATTGACGTAAATGTGCAATGTAAATTTACCTCGGCGCTTTGTGTTTGAATGTGATGGGCGCTGTCTGATATGTCTCATCCACACCATAAATTTATCTAGGATTAGTTTAATATTAAAAAGCCCGTAGCAAACGCATGGGCATCCACTCCATTATTCTCTCAAAATTGATCCCTTCCCCAGCTTCTCTCAGAGTTGCCACTCCATTATTTAATATTAAAAAGCCCGTAGCAACGCACGCTCAACCACATAGGGTTTTTTGAATAACTGGAGGGAATTCGTTTGTTTCTCCTGTAAGCAAATAAGAGTGTGGTGAACTTAACACCTATTTATCTTTATTTATTGTTTCTCTTATTCATAGCGTGTTTTCCCCTTTTATACATCTAACAGTGGTGAACCTAGAATTTGTGTAAGGAGAGTCATTCTGTTTCCTTGAATTTAACAGCACTCTATCCTTATTTCTCCAGAAAGCTTTCAGACAATACTCACACCATCTGTTTCCTTGAAACAAAGAAGTGTTTTTCACATATGTTACAATCCAATGTTTGTTAATTAATCGTATTATTTATATTCATAAGTAGTCTAAAGTTACCCCAAAACTGTTAATAGGATTTTTGATTACATATTATGATGCTGAAAAGGAGGTTATTGGTGCCCACTAATATAACAGTATGAAATAACCCTGCTTATGTTTGATGTTTTTAAATTTAAGTCTTTCAACTCAACTAAAATTATAATTTTGTACAATATTTACTGACTTTAACCTTCTATTGGCTATCTCGAACGATTGTGGGTATTAATGAAGAATTTCTCGTTAGCTGGACTCGCACAAAATGGAGAAGCATGCTGGTAGCTTTAAGCATTTAAGCTCGTAGCAACTTATAACACAAATATCTTCAGGATGCCTTGAAATATTTTAGAAAACTGTTTTTTCTGATGTGATGTGTGATCTGGCCTGATCTGGCGTGCGGCCTGGAGATGTCGTGACCCCATTTCCTCCTCACATATGGTTTGGGTTTTCGGATAGTCTAGACATATGGACATATGGAGACAATTTGGGGATCCGATTCTCTCTCTCTCTCTCTCTCTCTCTCTCTCTCTCTCTCTCTCTCTCTCTCTCTCTCTCTCTATCTCTCTTAGTTGCTAACAGAATAATGAAGAATCGGTATGACTAATATTATAGACCTCCTTCTCCTCAATCCTACCATGAATTATTCGACTTTTGTGTTAATACATGATAAACTTGTGAGTTGTGAGCAATATTCTCTAGGCAAGTTCTAGCCTTGTTATTTACAATTGATGATGCATGCCATTCACCCTTTCTCCCTTACATTTGAATGTATGTATATTAGGTTTTTTTTCTCCAGTTTGTATTTGAATGGGAGTTGCTCGCTTCCCTTTTATGTCATAGTTCATAGTACAACACACACATTTCCTTTTGAGTCTTATGTGAAATTCAGTTTGAGCGGATACACCAAATCTGAAGTTAAAAAATTCTAACGAAACTGAAAAATTATTATAAAAATTTTTAATCAATAAATGTTATCAAAAATTGATGTATCTACCTCTCCCAAGATAGGTAGGAGTAGCATGTTCTAGAAGATGTGTTTTGCTACCGTAGTTTCTAAATGGGGTTTCAAGTGCCTAAATTCATTTGTAATAGTTTGCCAGCCAATTGCACATTACAATTAAGTTTCTGGTTGTAACATCTTGGAACATTTGTTTAAAAGGAACACAATCATCCATGTGTTAATTTTTATTAATGGATAATAGCAATGCACATGATTTCCCGAGACAATCGATCTTAAGCATAAATTAAAAAAAACATTCAAGTGTTTTTATCATTTGTAATGCAACGCACAATAAAGAGGTCAATGCTTGGGTACCACCTTTATTTTGTTCATCAGGATATGATTATATTTATGTGTATAGGGTAGAATTAATTTCTTTTATCAAAATACATTGCATGCGAAGTAGATTAAAATTATTTTTTCGTTTGTTATTGGCTATCTTTTATATATAAATAAAATTTGACATGCAACTAATAAAAAAATTAAAAAGTCCGTGGCAACGCACGGGAAGTCTACTAGTTTGACATATTAATTGGAGTGTAGTAGGCTTCTATTTTGAGAGATCACACTCTCATTACTTCTAATAAGGAACATAAATGCAGTACATCCATTTTCAACATTCTTACACCCGAGTATGATGTATCTCATTTATGCACGAGTACACAATTACACATTAATTGGAGTGTAGTAGCTTAGGCATCAAAAATTGGACGCAACACATCCAATTTAGATACTCTCATTTGCGGAAAAGTATCAAACTGCTCCTTCCATACACAATTTGACACATTAAATTGGAGTGTAGGAGTCTATTTAAGGTAGGACCTCCAAGGGAGTGATCCATCCCTGCTCCCCCTGTAGGACTTGCAATCATAAGTCATTAGCCATGTCTCATTTATCTGCTTCCATGCTATGTTTCCTCCTTGCTTTGCTAACTCCTGCCAACCTCACTTCAGCCACCCGCAATATCGGATTCAGCCTGCCTCTTGTGTCCAGCTACCACAAGCTCAACCACACAACCGGTGAAATCGGGGAGCTCTTGCTGCCTGAGGGTGATGTGAACCCCATGAACATACGACCCGAGGTAGCCCCTGCCGGTTGGCCGATGATCAGTGTCGTCGTTGGAGTCGGCAGTGGTAGAGGCCAGCACTTCTATAAGCTCGCGCTGGACTTCGTGGGCAACCTCACATGGATCCGGTGTAAGCCTTGCACCCCGGAGGAGCAGCAGGAGGGCCCAATCTTCGACGCTGCCCTCTCCCCAAAGTATGCGTTTGTCAGGCCAATGAGCATCTACTGCAAGCCCCCCTACATTAGCCACGGTCGTGACAAGTGCAGCTTCTACGCCACCACTTCGCTCGCTGCAGCGCACGGGTACCTGGCCAGCGACGTGTTCACCTTTGGCGACGCCGGCACCGGTCATAAGAGCGTGGAGGGACTCATATTCGGGTGCGCGCACACCGCAGCTGAGTTGCTGGTGCCATGAGCTTGAACAAACACCAGACCTCGTTCAGGAACCAGCTTGTTGGGCGCCAAGTGGACAGCTCAAAGTTCTCTTACTGCCTCTTCTACCATGGCCAGCATAGCGCCAAGCATGGCTTCCTCAGGTTCGGCAGCGACGTCCCCAACCACGCACACGCCCAGAGCACGCTGTTGCAATACCACAGCCTACACCTGTATTACATCGGCTTGGACGGTGTTAGCTTGAACGGACAGAGGCTCACGAGAATCAACCATGCCATGTTCATGCGCGACCCGCCGAGCCACCGCGGCGGCGCCATCATCGACGTCAGGACACCCGAGACCAGGATGATCCGTGCGGCGTACGACATCCTCGAGGCCGCGGTCGTCGCAGACCTACAACATCGCCTCGGGGTGCGCCGTGCCGGATACCGGGTGCCAGGCTCCCACCTCGAGTTAATTACACGATAGTACCACAATTGGGGCCGTGGTGGCGAATTGGTACTCGTTTTGAAAATTTTTACGTGTCAGTACCACGTTTGGACCGAACCGTTGCAAATCGGGCTAAACTTCGTATTTGTACGTATTGACGCTGGAACTAACCGCCCGGGCCCGCGCGTCAGACGCCACGCTGGCGAATCGGCACTCGCCCGCTCGCTCAATAGGTGTGGTCCGGCTCGAACCGGACCGGCCCGTGCTCCACTCTGTTCCTCCTCGCTCCTGCCTCCCTCCTTGCTCCTCTCTCGTCGCCCTCGTCACCGCCGGCAGCTTTGCCGGAGCGGAGCGCCGCCGCCCGCCATGGTTTTCGAAGACGAAAGCAGTGAGGACACGTCCAGCCTGCCGTACATGCACTCGACCTCATCCACGGACGGGCTTAACCAGGTGATTTTCCTTGAGCTAGGTCTAGGGTTAGGGTTTCAGATTTGGGGCTTTTTGATTTGGTTGATTTCGCTGGGTTTTGATTTGGGCATTTTGATTGTACGAGCTTCGGCAGGTCCCTTTCAGCGTTGAAGATCCAGATTACCAGGGGCTTGAGCTGGAAACGATGTCGCCATGTGAGAAGCACGGCAAGGCATCTGAGAGGCTTGTCGCATTTGAAGGAATAGACACAGGGAGAAGGTTCCTAGCATGTGCAGAGCCGGTATGAATTCTATGCTGATAGTGGGATATTATATATAGGTTGATAGTGTCATATTATTGTTGGTTTGACAGTGCCATATTGAACATGAGTGAACATGAGTACAAGGCCTGATTATTAAGGGCATATTCATATATAGGTTGATAGTGTCATATTATTGTTGGTTTGACAGTATCTAGGTGGATAGTATGTACTGCATATGCTTTGGCAGTTCACCAAATTTGCAGTTAGAGATTGCTCTCTCTTGTTTTGAAGCGATTAGCAAAATCTAGTTCAAAGTTGTAGCTGAGTGGTGCTGTAATTTGTCATGCTGTTATTTAGTGGGTAGGTACATCTCAATTACTAGTGTAGCTTAGTGGTGCTATTATTACCAATGTACAGTGTTATTGCTTTGCACTAATTATTTACCTGTGCTTCTGAAGTAACATGTTTATTTTTTTTTTATCTTTTTGCCTTTTTGCAGGAAGGGCAGAATTGTGGGTTTGTTGAATGGGTTGATCACCAGTGGCCCCCAACAATGCAAAATGCATTATTGAAGCTGTGGGCCATGGTTGAAGATAGCAAGAGTGCTAGGGTGAATGATAATCTTGAAAGTTCTTTCACTATCCACCATCTGACAGAAGAGAAGAACAAGCTGGAGGCCAACTATGACAAGTTAGTCCAAGATGTGCATGAACTTATGAGCTTCCAGGAGGACAGGGTGGTGGATTTCAGATATCTGCAGGATAACCTTACATATCAGCAGCAGTGCAGAAGTGAACTGCTGGCTGATATGAAGGCACAGATGGCAAAGAAAGATGCAGAGTTTGAGAAGCTTAAGCAGAATTATGAAGTGCTACTGAACCTGACAAGAGCACAAGCAACAGTCATCCAGAACTTGAAGTTGAAGCATATTAAAGACAAGCAATTGTTTAGTGAAGATAAGATGAACTTGGAGTTGAAGAATGCAGAGCTCACAAAGTCTGAGGAGAAGCTCACCCAAGAGAAGCTAGAGTTGAAGCTTCAGATTGCTGAGCTGATGAAGGCAGAGGAGAAGCTGAAGGAGAAGATCAAGGGGATCCAGGCCATCTTAGAGAAGTGAAGAAAATGAATATGAGACTAGTGGGTAATGCTGACCTTTTGGGCATGATGGTTGTGTAGTGTATGGCTCTATTAATTGTGAACTATGTCTGTGTATGTATGTAGTAGATATGCTTTTCATCCTTTTGTGAGAAAAGGATGAACTATGCATTTAAACTCAAACTCCACTATGTATTTGTGATGGACCTGCTGTGTACCCTATAATATGTTGAACTCCAGTAAGTATTGTGTGTTATGTTGGCTAGACTTGAAATGATGATATATCATGCATTAGAAGATGGATCAGATATTCCGTGCCATGAGATGTAGACTAAAAGTTATGATTTCTCTTGCAATAGGTTTTATATTTTTATATTAGATGATTATGTTAGCATTGGAAGACTATTTGATGGTTATGTTAGCACTGGAATATTATATGGTTATGTTATATCATGCATTGGAAGCCCATGTTGGTTAGGTTAAGTTGGTTCCGTCGACCCCTAGCCACCGTAAACCATCATGGTTAGGTTAAGTTGGTTCCGTCGACCCCTAGCCACCATAAACCATAATGGTTAGCTTAAGGTGGTTCCGTCGACCCCGAGCCACCGTAAACCATCAAGTTATCCACCCAAGTGGCATCAATCCATCAACCATCAAGTTATCCCCAACAGAACCATCAAGATATCCATTGGCATCAGCAGAAGTTGCTTTAGTGGCATCAAACCCAAAAGAAAACACATTGTAGTGGCATCAAAGCAAAACAAAGCACAATGTATCATCAGCAACAGTTGCTGCAGTGGCATCAAACCAAAATAAATCACATTGTAGCAGCAGCACAAGTTACTGCAGTGGCATCAAACCAAAATAAAGCACATTGTAGCAGGAATACAAGACATTGTAGTGGCATCAAACCAAAAGATAACATGCCACATTGTAGCAGGTGCACATTGTAGAATCAACAGAAGTTTGCATCACCTTCTGCCACCTCTACTAGCATTGAACCAGGCCATCCATCCAGTGTGTGTGCCATCAGTTGGTGGAGGAGCACTAGAAGTTGAGGCACCATACTGCCTTGGGGCAGAGAAAGGCCTTGAAGAATTTGCACCTCTCCCAGCAGAAGATTGAGCACTAGAAGATGCTCTTTCAGATCCTCTTCCACCACCAGCCCTTCTTCCTGCACCTCTACCAGCACCACTTCCACCACCTCTACCAGCAGCACTTCCAGTTCTTCCTCCTGGTGTTGGAGCAGGAGCCCTAGTTGTTGCAGGTGGAGCAGCTCTTGGTGTTGGTGTAGGAGCTTTAGGTGTTGGTGTAGGAGCCCTAGTTGTTGGTGCAGGAGATCTAGTTGTTGGCTTGGAAAACAATTCAAAGGAAACACAGTTAATAATACTACAAATAAGAAAGGTAATTTATAGAAACATCAAAATGAAGAACTAGTACAAAGGGGCTTACCACATGTTTGTTCTTTCTTAAGGCCAACTCAGGTTTCAACTGTTTAAGGCAGTTTGTGTATTTATGCCCTTGTAATCCACAATTGCTACAAGTTATTGTCCCCATTCTTGAGGTGGACTTTGGCTTTGGAACTTCAAATTTTCCCTTTATTCTCTTCTCTTTCCTTCTTCCTTTCTTCACTTTAAATGCTGGTGGTTCTATGTCTGGACCTGGGGTCTTTGTCCAGTCATGCTCACCAGGGACAGGATATATCATTGGTTCATATGCTGCCAAATAATATGGTTTCTTGAAGAATTTGCTTACAAAGTCCTCTGGAAACCTTTTTGCCTTGTTGATTGCTGAGATGGCATGGTTACATGGGATGCCACTGAGGTCCCACTTTCTGCAACCACAGGTTTCAACTTCCAAATTGACAGCATGTGTTTGCTCACCACTAGTTACTTGCCACAAGTTAACACCTGCTTGAATGGGTTTGCAGTACCTGGCCCTTTCCTTTTCAATCTCCAACTTCTCACTGTAATGTGGTGTGATCTCCCATCTAGCTTCCCTTCCACTCTCTCTATTCCTGTGCCACCTAACCATCTGCTTATCCTTTATGCCATCACACATAGTTCTTATTGGTTTTTTCCTATGATCTAGGATGTACTTGTTAAACACCTCTGACAAATTGTTGACAACCAAGTCAGTCTTGCTATTTGTGTCAAATGCATGCCTAGCCCATGTTTTCTTGGGTATTGCACTAAGCCACTGCCAAGCTTCCACACTCTCAGCTTTGAGATCATCCATTGCTTTATTAAATTTGTGTTCATTATATGCATAACTGGCATTATCCATGCACTTCTTAAGGTCCTCCCCCCTAAAGCCAGCATTCTGGAAGTTTGCATATATGTGTCTTAAGCAGAATCTTTGATGACTGTTAGGAAAAACTCTATTCACTGCATATAATAGCCCCTGGTGCACACAATTTAAACAGCTAAGCTACTGTCTAATATACATGTAAACACATATTTAGCAGGCAAAGCAAGGTGGATAAACATACCTTCTGTCTGTCTGACATTATAGTATATGGACCATACTGTCCAACTTCTCCTCCAAGACAAATCTTCAGTTGGTGTAGAAACCAGCACCAGTTTGCTTTGTCCTCTTGTCCAACAATGCCAAATGCCAGTGGGTATATGTTGTTATTGCCATCTCTACCAGTGGCAGCAAGGATTTGTGCACCAGTGGTCAGCTTGATAAAACATCCATCAATACCTAAAACAGGAAGTAAACATAACATGTCAAATGCATTTATATGTGCAACCTATTGAAACTAACAACATCAAAGTAGTGTACAAGATAAAATGAACTAACCAATGAATGGTCTACAGCCCTGTAGAAATCCCTCCCTTGCTCCATTGATGCAGTAAAACATGGCATGGAATCTTGGTCCTGGATGTGGGATTTTTTCAGTGGCTGTTGGAGTTACAGTGGTAACTATAACTCTACTCCCAGGGTTTGTATCCATCACAGTCTGAGCATAGTCTCTCAGCCTTGGGTATTGCTTCCTATGATCTCCCAACACAGCCTCAACAGCTAAGTTTTTTGCCCTATATGCCATAGCCTTGGGCACATCCACACCATACTTTTCCATGCAGGCATCAATAAGTGTATGTATGCTAGTACTGACATCAGATCTGAATAGTGGCTCATATTGCTTTGCAAGCCACTTTGCACTTACCCTGCTTGTTTCAGTAGAACTAGGGCAGGTGTGTTGTATCCTCATCTTCTTAATTACAAAAGTGTTTTCCCCTTTTATAACAGCTGCCACAATGCAGAACTTACAATGTTCATTCTTGCAATGCACAATGATCCTCTGATCTGAGTTCCTGTGATACTTGAAGTCTCTGCACTGAGTGATGTGCAAGCTCAACAGAGCATCTCTGAATTGATGTTGATCTTTGAAGCACATATGCAGTTTTAGTTGTTGGTGTGGTTGTTCCAAATCCTCATTGTACCATACTCTAGCTGGCCTCTTCTTTGCCCTACTCTTCCTTTTTTGAGGTAGCACAAATGCTAGTGGCTCAAACCCATCATCTTCACTGTCCTTCAATAAACTATCATCTTCTTCATCTGATGATGGTTTCCAATCAGGTTGCACTTCTTCTAAAACACTGGAATGTGACCTTGTTGTTGGTCCCCTCCTTACTTGCAACTTCTGCTTCTTCTTTGCTGGCACATATATTTTTTCCTCCTCTTCTGGAACAATAGGGTCATCATCCTCCAACTCAAATAATTCCTCTACCTCTGTGTCACCCTCATAATGCACTTGTTCTTCATCCTCTAATTCTTCTTCTGATTCTTCATCCTCTGTTTCTTCCTCATGTTGCTCTTGTACTTCTTCCTCTCTCTGTCTATTTTCCTCTTCCATCTCCATGTCTTCAGCATCATGCATTTCCTCATTATAGTTAGGCCTTAAATCCCCCATGTCACTATCATACTGCCCTTCAGATCCTTCAGATGAACATGCATAACTGCCATCATAGCCAACTTGTTCTTCTTCCACAACTTCTTTTAACTTGGGATTTAGAACACTCCTGCTCTCTTGTGTTAAAACAGCAGGGCCTACAGCTGCAATATAACTGCTACTCTGACCTTCATAAGCAACACCTTGCTGATCAACAGCATAAACAGGAGGATCGGCAAGATCAAAAACAACAGGCTCAGAATATTCAGTTATATCTAAATTTTGCTTCCGTACAAAACCCTTCTGTGGTACACTGACAGCTGGTGGACAAGCCCTAAATAGCAAATTAAGCACCAAACTCTCCTCATTCTGCCTCTTGATCAACTGTAGTTTAACATTACTATCAACCAATTCCAAGCCCTGCTCTCCTGGGGTCTCCATGTAAAACATCAGTGAATCATCAATACCGAAGCCTTGGGTTTCCATCAATGCAACCATATTTAGATATGTCACATCTGAAGAGCTTAATTTCCTCTCTAACAGATCATTATTGTCAAAATGGATCCTAACATTCCATATGTCTTCATATAAACTACAATTCACATGCAATTTGCCTAATCAGTACACTATAACCCTAATTAGCAAATAAATGAGAAGAAGAAAAAGAGGCAGAAACAGAAACTTACAGGACGCCGCCGAGCCCGTGGGTCAGCTCATGGCTATTGCTAGGGTTCGCCACCCATTGCTTTGCCAGCCGTACCCGCTGCTCCATGGACAGTGCGGGCTCAATGAACTCGTCGTCGTCGCTGGAGTACTCAGAGCTCGAGTAGCCATCGCCGCCCTCGATTGGAGATCTCCCCTCGATTCCTCCTGCCGCGCCGATGCCGAAGAGGGGAAGGTTTGCGCCGCTGCCATCGCCGTCGCCGCCACCGCCGCTGCCGCCACCACCGCCCGGGGGCGCCGCCGCCATCGCCGTACGCGCAGGGAGCTAGGGTTCGTCGACGAACAGAGACGGCGACGAGGAACAGAGTGGAGCACGGGCCGGACCGCACCTATTGAGCAAGCGGGCGAGTGCCGATTCGCCAGCGTGGCATCTGACGCGCGGGCCCGGGCGGTCAGTTCCA